AGTTGCAAGAAGATACAAGAAACCAGACAAAAAGTGCAAATGGTTCTCAGATGAAACCATCAGAAAGCAAAGAAAATCAGTCAAAGCATCAGGCAAACTCAAAATGTGGATTTCCAAAGAGCAGCAAGGAAAGACAACAAAGTTTATTGGGACTAGTGTTGCAAACAGCTAGGAAGAGTCACATCAGGAATGCATTTGTGCAAGTCAAAAGATCCCAACAGCATTTATTGCTTGTAATAGCATCATCAAAAACAAACATGAGAAAGAACTTTTTGACCAACAAGTTGGGAGAATCAGGGGTGGTATTCACTTACCTTCGCTACCGGTTCGCAAATGTGAGCACAGAGGGTAAAAAATGGGACGTGATGACGTCCGGGTGGAGCCTCCCGTCGCTGCCGCTATCGGATTGCACAATCCGGATAGAGCCGGCTGAATTTCACCACTGGTGAGAATATAGAGAACAGCTGTATGCCAGCAACAAAGAGGCCCAGTTTCCAAAGGATGATGAGAAAAAGGAAGTAGAAATAGAATCAGTCATCCTTCAGGAAGATATTATGTGAGCAATGAGCCAACTGCCAAACAACAATACGTGAGGGGTTGATATCCACCTCTGCAGAATTGCTGAGGCCTATACCCCCACAACCATCAAAACTTGGTGCCAGAAAATTTGAAAAATGAACAGTGCCAAAAGATAATTCCTCCAAGGATTGCTCCAATTATTGCATAATTTCCCTCATTCCTCATACTAGTAAGATTTTTCTTAAAATCATACAATAATGTCTGGTGAGAATTAATCGAAATTAAAACTGTCTTCAGAAGGGTCGGGGTATTTGTAACCGTATTGGAAATTCCCATTGAATCATAGAAAAATCTCAAGAATATCAAAAGAACATCTACAACTGCTCTATTGACTACAAGAAAACATTTCATTGGATTGATCATAACAGGCTGGGGACAGCCCTAGTAGACCTGGGGATCTCAATAGGTCTGGTCAAGTTGGTACAGCTGCTATTCACAAATCAAGAAGCCATTATGCAAATACCACACGGGAACATTGATTGTTTGAAGATACTGTACATAAAGGAGTGCAGCAAAACTGCATTCTTTAAACTTCCTTATTCATGTATGTATTAACTCATTCTTTGCATCCGTCTTAATGTAAAAAGAAACAATAATCCAGCCTACCAAAAACATAACTGTAAAAGAAGACTAGAAATAAAAGTTAAAATAAGCAAAAAAAAAAAAAAGGTAAGAGAACACCTGTCTGATCTTGATGAATACAAATAACCAGGACGTGATGGATTACATCCTAGAGTTCTAAAGGAACTGGCAGATGTCATCTCAGAACCACTGTACCACATCTTCCAAAAATCCTGGTAGCACCGGGGAACTACCAGAGGACTGGAAAAGAACTGATGTGGTTCCCATCTTCAAAAAAAGGGGGGGGAAAAATAGACCCAGGAAACTACAGACCAATCAGCCTAACATCAATACCTGGGAAATACTGGAAAAGATAATAATAATAATAAAAAAAAAACAGATCTGCCAACATCTAGAAATGAGTAAAGTAAGCATGAGTTTGTTAAAAACAGATCATGCCAAACCAATCTTATTTCATTTTTCATAGTGACTAAAATTAGTAGGCCAGCGAAATACTGTGGACATAATATACTCAGACTTCAGTAAGGCATTTGACAAAGTAAACCACAATCTACTTCTTGGTAAGATGGAAAAAAGTGGGATAGATAGCATCACCATCAGATGGATTTGTAACTGGCTGACAAACAGTACTCAATGAGTAATTCTTACTGGTACTATATCTACATGGAGGGAAGTAAGCAGTGGGGTATCACAAGGTTCTGTCTTAGGCCTAAAACATGGAAGAAGGAATATCAATAGACTTTGGTATGCTGATGACACAACCTTCTGAATGAAAATGTCAAAATAACAATGGTGTTCATTTGACAGTGAAGAGATCGAAGGCACACAAGAATTCATTCTCCTAGGAACACAAATTGATTAATACAATAATTACAGTCCAGAAATAAAAGTGTTGAATTGCACTGGATCACACAGCAATGATATGCATGAATTGTGTATGGAAAAGCAAGACCACCAATTTGGCAAGGAAGTGCAGATTAGTCTGCACTATCATATTTCCTACAGTTATCTGTTGTTGCATAAGTTGGAAAAACTAGACAGGAGAAAAATTGACGTATTTGACCTGTAGTATTACAGAAGCCTTCTGTACATTCCTTGGATAACAAAGGTGAAAAGCAAGCAAGGGCTGGAGCATATAAAACCAGATTGCTAGAAGACAAAACCACAAAATTCCACCTTATTTCAGCCATTTTATGCAATCACAGGAAAGGCAATTATGCTGAGTGACCAGCAGTAAAAGGAAATGAGGTCACTCAAATCCACAAAGACTAGACAACATCAAAACTGACACCAGACAGAGCATAAAACAACATAAAACAACAACTATATAGGATTGAAAAATACGGAGATGATCCAAAAACTTGTTGAGAATTGGACCTGATAGAACAGATATCATCATCATTATCAATCGTCTGTAATTCTATCCTGTCATCCTAAGAATGCTACAGAAATCTACTAGATTTGGTTTTCAGTATATTTTCTTTTGTGTCATTCATTAACTAGTCTTTTCTTATAAAATATGTATCATTATTTAGATTTTAAAAATCAGTTTAATCCACCACTCTCTCTTCTGTAACACTGATCCATCTCCCAATAAGAAAGATTTGAGAACAGCAGCTTTCTCTTTGTGAGTATCCCCATCAATTGATACTGAGAAGAATGCACTTCTGATCCTAGAAATAATTAAATGCCATCATGATTAATAGCCATTGATAACTTTACCTGCAAAGATGTTATCAAAGTTTCTAAAATCCTTCAAATTGATAGTCATTGGTATAACCTGCAAAAATGACTTTTGTATAATTTATTACATACTGTACTATATGAAATGTCTGTCTTGAATCTCCCATTATTTTGCTTCATTATATTATTCTGGGTTTTATTAGCTCTCTCCCTCCGTCCCTCCTTCCCTTTCTCTCGCACCCACCCCCTTCTCTCTCTCTCTCGATGGATGGATGGATGGATGGATGAAATAGCAGAATATATCACCTTACTCAGTTTATTAGGGATGAGAGAATAAGAAAGACTACATTAATATCAGAATGCTGACTTCCTTTTCCTTCTGGTCTAATAAACTGAGTTTATATCAGTTAGATGGCAATTGGAATGTACAATAAACTTTAGCATTAAGCACCGATGGCAGAGTCATTGTGGAATGTACCTGTCAAGAATATGTAAACCTTCGGGGGGGGGGGGGGGGGAATATTTGTAAAAAAAAATTTTTTGTAAAACTTTTTAATAATAATAAAAAAGAATATGTAAACCTTTTTCTCTTCTTACTCCTCTTCCAGACATACTTACAGCTACTTGTCATTCGTGGGCTTTGTATATTGACATTTCTACCCCATCCCAATGTCCCCACCCCCAAAGAATGTGAATGAAACAGTGCTTATAATTGAACAGATGAACAAGTATGTAAAAGATGGGTATGAAACGGGTGAAATCCAGCAGGTTCTGGAGAACCGGTAGCAGAAATTTTGAGCAGTTTGGAGAACCAGTAGCAGAAATTTTGAGTAGTTCAGAGAACAGGCAAATACCACCTCTGGCTGGCCCCAGAGTGGAGTAGGAATGGAGATTTTGCAGTATCCTTCCCCTGGAGTGGGGTGGGAATGGAGATTTTGCAGTATCCTTCCCCTGCCAGGCCCACCAAGCCACACCCACCAAGTCACACCATGCCCACCAAGCCACGCCCGCAGAACCGATAATAAAAAATTTTGAATTTCACCACTGGTATGAAAGTCTTAATTTTCTGAATTGTTTCAAAAACAATAGGCTGAGTCAGGACCTTATTTAACTGTTATACTTTTCATTTTCCACCCAATCTTCACATTCTCATTTAGGATATGTGCTATCATTATAGCTTTTCCAAAGTTTCAATATATAAATATAAAATAAAATTTACTCATGTGTGTGGATGTGTATATATTTGGATAATCTTCAGTGGACTAACCTCCTTCTATTTTTAATATATATTTTTTTGCTTGCAACAATGAGAAGGACATGAGAAGAAATCAAGAATTTATGTAAATTGAACAACATTGGCTACAACTCAAAGAGCTTGGAGAGACAACCTGAACTCAATCATTATGTAGTCTGACCTTTGCCCAAACTCAACATCTAGGCCATGATAATAGGAGCACTCAAATCATGGAGTTACATGGATCACCTTACTATTTGGACATATGACAACTCCTTCAGTCCTCCAAGTGGGACTGAGACCTAAATATCTGAGTCCATAGAAAAATACTTAGTTGCTTCTTTACTCTCTTTACGGCTCCAAATCCAATATTTACAGCACCTGCATAAGAGGTTATTTCAGAACTCTCAAACATAATGAACATACTGGGAAGCAAAACCATAACAACACTGGCATGGAAGAAGCAAACACGAAATAAAATGCACCACACATGCTAATATAGTGCTAAAGACAGTGGTAAAATACTTTTATAGTTAGGTTTGTCAACCAACAGCTAACTTTTATTCATAACAAGGCAAGTAGCTCAGTTTCTGCAGAGAGTAGGTGTGAAAATTGATGCGGCAATTCTAAAGCCAAATCCAAGCCATTTGTTTTGAATTTTGGAAAGACCAAAGGTGGTAGATTTTTTTCTAAAGTCTGCCATTAATAGTCCCAACACAATTTTGAATAAGCACCTGGGAAAAGATTTCACTCAACGTACTTCTATGTGGCATATTATTCCTCTTTCATCTGTACTATATATTTTGATGAAATTGGATGGCTTACTCAGCAACATTTGCCACCTAACTTAAATAGTGTTGTTCTTTCTTTCAAAATATGACAATATTTAAATTATAACAGGAAGACATTCACAACATAATACCTTTCATTTTCGTGGAGCAGCTCACCTCCCTTTTTCCAAATAGTTGTCGCTTTAGGGGAAGCTTTTGGGTTGCACTCAAAATGAGCTGTGCTGCCCTTTAGAAGCTGAATCAATTTCTTCACTGGGCTTTTAGAAAAGTCAGGAGCAGAAGCTAGCAGCAGAAGAAACACATTAACTATGAAACACAACTTCTCCAGCATGTCCTCAGTGAGTTCCACAATTCATGTTACTTTTTTTTTCTTTTTCGTTAACCATTGAAGAATATGAAATTCTCATTCTAGTTCAGCCAAAATAGCACTGAAACAGAAATTGTACATCAAAATGCCACTAAATTAAACTGGGATTAAGCAAAGGCTTTACTTTCAGTTCACCGATTGTAAGAAGACTCCAAAGACCTACATTTTCCAGCATTTGTCTTTTTACAGTGGCAAATTTCTCCCTTGCTGTGACTTTCCAACAATTGGTATTGATTTGATACCCATTTGCCTGGCTGAATTCACAATATTTAGTACAATATGATATTAAAACATTGCATTAGTGGTAACAATAGGCCCCAAACACTTCCTTTGCTTTCAGTGAGTCTCTCTGCCCCAACTTTATTTTTATAAATGCAGGTTGCTGACATGCTGTAAAAGAAAGCAAAGACATTTCACATCATATTTATTTGCAGTAATGTCTTTGTATTCCATGAAAATCCTGATGAGATGGTACAAAGTATCTTGAGAAACTATTTTACCTTATGGTAAATAAGCATTTTGTGACTGGTCATGACCACTCTACCAGCCATTTTTCCCATGGCAGGCATTTGAAAGTACAACCACCATTTTGTGAAAGTACTGCTACCCCTCCCCCAATAAATAAGCCAATGAACCTTGTTTTGACATAGGATGATGGAAAGAAATATCCTAAAGTGATTTGGCACTAGTTTTAGAAGTAGTCAGGAAAAAGGCATTAACTGAACTGAATCAAACTCAAGTCAGAGTTCAGATTTCAATTGCTGGGGTTTATTTCAAGAAAATATTACTAAATTATTAGTGGTGCTAATGATGAAGCATTGTCACATTTTCTCATTACCACATGTTCTCATAACATGTTTTTTTATACATAACTAAAAGCTGTTTTGCTATGTTTGGAAACAGGTTTTCAGAAAATATACAGGGAAAGAACAGATGTAAGATTAGATTATAGCTCTTCCATAAATTGATTTTTCAGGAACTATAACAAAATTGCAGTTTAATAATTTATTGTGAAAACTGTCCTAGAGATAGAAGAAGAGTAGCAAAATACTACTTAGTCTCAGTCAGGAGACTGCTTGGTGATACCTTTGACTTTGGGGAAGGAGACAGGGAGAAGATGGAAGACTTAAGGGAGAGAAAGAGAAAAGAAATAATGTTTTTCTTTCCTTATGCTCTGTTTAAAATATTCAAAGGACTATGGGGGATAATGTTAGCAAAAATGCAAAAAACAACATGTAAATATATTTTCACTCACAAATGTCCTTCAGGTGGAGCTTGACTATAGATATCTTCATTGAGACACTCAAATAAATATTTTTTTCTGGGAGGAAAATTTCCCAGTCTAGCCAAATTTCTGCTACTTCCGTCCATTAACTAGGTCCAATTCTACTCTGAGATCAGCCACAATTGGGAAGGCACTGCCAGTTAGCTGGTTTCATTGGCTACTGTAAGACTTTATATTATAGAATGGAGATGTGGAATAGAGTGAAACTGAGTTTCTTCCAACAAGACTTGTACTTGAATCACATGAAGTTCAGCAAGAAAGAATGGGTCTGGAACATTATAATTTTAGCTGGACAAATTGGTCTGTTTGCTTGCAAGAAAACAAGCAAGCTCAGAGAGCACAAAGGACCCTTCTGAACACACACACACACACACTCTATCTATCTATCTATCTATCATCTATCTATCTATCTATCTATCTATCTATCTATCTATCTATCTATCTATCTATCTATCATCACATTTCTATGCCAATATAGATCATAAAGTTCTTTAGAGTTTGCAATAAATCAATGTAAAAACTTTAAATAACGTGTCAAAATTAAAATTAAAATTCAGGTATCCAGATTACAAATGAACAAATTCCTGGAAGATGTTGAGTTCAAAAATGTAAATAAAATAAATAAATAAAAGTTGCATTTTACTACATAAAAATGAATTAAGCCTACTGTATGTTATAGATAAAATTTAAAACAATTCTTAGAAAAGATACTTAGTATTTCACAACTATTTCTAGTCGACCAAAAGTGTTGCCGCTATACTCATTCAATGACTTAGGAGTTTTCTTTTATTCATCTATTTCCAAATAATACTACTATTGGAGACCTTTTCAGGAGATTTTGTCCAGCTTTGTTAGATACATTTTAGTCTGCCTTTCTGCTAAAAAAAAAGAAGAGAACCTTAGATGTTTGAAGATTAACATGGTAGAAGAATGATCACTGGCACAAGATTGGACAGAATCAAATGACTCCTTAATTTCATTCAAAATTCAGTTTCACTGCCCAATCTAGATTTCAACAATCCATATAAATTATATTAAGAGTTAAATTGTCAGAAATTGATTTGGGCATCAAAACTGGTAACTGTGCCTAATTAATGGTCTAATTAATAGCTTTGTTCAGATTTGTACTTATATGCTATTAATTACCTTAAAACTATTATTTTACTGTTATGGTATATCCCCTATTCTGCTAATCACACAAGCAGTTATGTATGTGGGAGCAGATCAAGGCAATTCACTGAGGAATTGATGCATGAATGCACAACACCCAAAGAGGCCAATATGGCTCCTTAACTGAAAGGATACACAATATGGCTTCTAAACTCGTATTTAAGAAACAATATAAAAAATGCAAAACTGGTTACTAAAATGCAAGGCTGGTTACTATTTGAACATAGCAAAAGCTTTGCCAATTATCCTCTGCATGAGGATAAAACCTTGTCATTTGTTCTAAAAGCAAACTAGGATAGTTAGTCCTCGACTTACGACCACAAATGAGCCCAAAATTTCTGTTGCTGAGAGAGATAGTTGTTACGTGACTTTCGCCCCAGTTTATGATCTTTCTTGCCAAAGTTGTTAAATGAATCACTGCAGTTCTTAAGTTAGTAACATGGTTTTTAAGTGAATCTGGTTTCCCTATTGACTTTGCTTGTCAGAAGTTTGCAAAAGAAGATCACATGATCCCGGGACACTGCAACCATCATAAATATGAATCAGTTGCTAAGTGTCCAAATTTTAATCACGTGACCACAATGATTAAATGCAATGGTGATAAATGGTCATAGGTCACTTTTATCAGTGCCGCTGTAACTTCAAACAGTCACTATATAAACTGTTATAAGTAGAGAACTACCTATATCACCTTCATAACTAATAATGGGTCCTTGCACCTACATTATCAAGAAAAAAGTCAGAGAAACTTAACTGTCATTTTCCAATGACATTGCATTCTCAAGAATACCAAAGTTACAATGCAGAAGGTCAGTGCCATGAAGTAATATGCTGAGCCAATGTTGCTTCCCAATTATGTGATTAGTTTTAATCACTGGGCTGGTATCCAAGCTTTGTGTCTCTTCTTCCCATAATTAATAATTTATCTTGGTGTCCTTGTTTTAAATCAATGAATGATTGAGCTATAAAATATAGCTCTTTCTTCTTTACCCTCCACCACATCCCTCAGATACAATTGAGAAAATTACACAGAAATGCTGATAAATTGAGTTGTGTGAAAACATTTTTGCTAAATTTTCAAGATGGTGTAGGAAAACATGACAGCTACTGCAGCAGGAGGAAAAATATCTGATGAATAACAACAACACAGAAAGCAAAGTTGTGACTTACCTACAACTCGGAGATTGGCACTGGCATATATTGTACCATGTTTGTTCTCTGCTATACACTGGTACATGCCAGAATCTGTCAAGTTTAAGTTTGTTATAGTCAAAGCTCCATTTTCAATTTGTATTCTTCCCTGGATAGTAAAAGCAAAACATTAAAAAGGAATATATTTACGTGACTGAAGAAACAGACAAGCGAGGGTGTTTTGGCTGCACAGCAAGTATCTCATGCCTTCATTAAACTTCATTTGAAGAATTCATACATAGCTTAACTGATGTTTAAGACAACTCTGGAATTTCCATGCATTGACCAAAGTGAGTGATATGCTAATAATGGTTTTTATGACAGACAAAGCTTTATAGAGCTTTGCGGTAGATATAAGCATTGGACTGAAACATCAGCTTTGAAAATCCTATTTCAAATTCTGAAAGGATTGAGTTGGATTTGCTTGTCAGTGAGGTCTATTCCTAACAATCCTGGGATCAACTTACTTTAATTTTGGGGCTTACAAGCTTGTCTACTGCAAAATGCTTTTACATGGGAGGAAAAAAAGTAGGTTTTTTTTCCCCCCTTTGAAAATGACAACTCATTTTGAGGTCTAATTCTTGCTCAGCTTATATATTTGAATCTTTTTTGTTCTCTGTAGTCTTTCATACATACTTATATACTCATATATACTCACATAGACAAATACTTGTCAAGCTTTCTACCTAATATACAATTTCTTTGGGGTAAAATTGTGATTGGTTGATGTTGGTAGAAGTATCTGCTTTGTATAACTGAACATTCCTAAGAACATAGAATTGATGTGATCAATGATAGTGAAGCACGTTTGACAATTTTAACTGAAAAGAGATTTATTTATAGGATGTACTGTACATTAAACGGATAGGTAAACTCTAGCAGTTTGCTGAGTACATCCTACCAGGAAGAGAGTAAAATAGCTTGTGCCCTCTATGTGCATGTCTTGGAAGAAAGGAAAAAAGGAAGCAATCTAAGATTAGGGAGAATTTTGGCAGGTTTCACACAGCGAGAATAAGTAATAACTGATCTTGGCAATAAGAATGCTTCACTTTAAAGTTTAATTGTAGCAATATAAAAGTAGGTAACTCCAAGGATGTTCTATCATTACTGTCCTTGAGAACAGTTAGCTTGAATAAATAATCTATACCTCCCATAGAAGGTCAGTTTTCTGAAGAACCCTGAGGGACAAACCTGATTAACTCTTTCAGTACCTTGCCAGGTATTCAATATTTTAGAATACTGAACAAGTCAGTATTGTAAAAAAGCTACATCTGGGGTGTCAAACTTGCGGCGTCACGGCAGTGTCATGTGGCATATCACAACTTTCCCCCCCTTCCCCAAACCTGGTGTGGATGTGGCCAGTGCATGACACATCCGGCCTGCGGGCCACAAGTTTGCCAGCCCTGAGCTAAATGATCTGAAGAGAATTTATTAGCAACAACATGTAAAGTTGGTAGACCTTTAATAGAGCTGGTCACCCCAACTGCCCAAGAAAATTTGAGAAACAATTTGGTGATTCATCCCCTATTTTAACATGGAATATAGACATGGAAAAGAGAGCAAAGAGTCCTTGGGAGTGGTTTCCATCTTACTCCCTCTACTCCTTGATAAAACACCGCAGCATGCAGAAAATGTAAGTGACAGAAACAAAATAGAGGCTGACAGATAAAAGGAAGTAAGCTGCGGCCCAAATCTTTGTGAGTTACTAATTGAGGAGGACTTTGGAATAGGAAGAGTTATAAAAACATCACCCTTAGCTCAACACTTGGTAGTACAGTGGTTTAATGCACCCTGTTATTAACACAGCTGCCTGCAATTTCTGCAGGTTCGAATCTTACCAGGCTCAAGGTTGACTCAGCCTTCCATCCTTTCTAAGGTAGGTAAAATGAGGACCCATTTGTGGGGGCAATAAGCTGACTTTGTATAAATATACAAAAGTATGAAGGCTATTGCTTAACGCATTGTAAGCCGCCCTGAGTCTCCGGAGAAGGGTGGCATATAAATCAAATTAAAAACAAAACAAAACACTTCACTTCAGATGTAGATACTATTCTGAGTTGTCAACCTGAAAAAATACCCAACCAAGTTGCTTCTCATCTCAAAACCCACTGGAGCTTATGCAACATTAAGGCAGTGATGAAGGTAAACATATTACAAACCTGTGTGGGTTTTTTTGACCCTGAAGGAATTTTGGATAGCGCCACTCTAGTTGAATAATTGAAAAACATGTTTTTTTAACCCAAAATTCCAGTACCCTTTCAATCACCTCAGTAACATTAATTAGTAACTTTGAATATCACTGGCTGGAAGATCAGAGTAACAGATTGGGATATAACGAAGCTCCTCTCTAACTTTGACTTCATAGCCGTCGAAGGTACATGGATGACTACAGATGTGGAAAAGATCCATTTACTAGGCTTTAAAGCCTGGACTATTCCTGAAAGAAAATATAAGACTAAAGGGTGCATTTATCTGAATGCTGATTCCTTGTATTTCATATAAATGTGATATATTTATCTAAATACTGATTCCTTGTATTTAGCACATACACATTTTATTACTATATTTTCTTTTATCTACTTTATCCTGGATTTAGATCCTGTATTTTATTTTTATTTGATTTGATATAGTCATAAGGCTACTTATTTATTTTTAAAAAGTCTAAGTAATTGATTGTTGTTATGAATTTTATTGCTAAACATTCTATAACTTACACAAGAAGATACCTCCAAATATTTTATATGATTTGGTAGTCTATAACATGCTACCACGATAGGGTTTTTTGGGGTTGTTGTTGTTTTACTTTCATTTACTTTTGCCCAAACACTTTTGTCTGAATTTATTATGCAGTAACCTAGCAGTAAATAAAATATCTCAGATCTGTTCACTCAGTGATAATATTTATGCTGTACAGTGCAAGAAAAAAGAAAGATAAGTAACAGAAAGAAAACAAACATTTTGATGTGTTTTTTGTTATTTTCATCATTTGGGAAGAAGTGGGCTGAATGTAAATATTAAAAGGGACTGAAATGGGCCCTTTTGGACCGACAGAGACTAGAATACAAATACTCCAGCTAGAAAGAATAAAAAGTACACAGAATGTCTGATTTTTGAGAAAACTGGCTTGATTTAGAAGGATGATTCAGTCAAATCTCCTTTTGACTAACTCATTTTCTTAAGCTTTACACATCTGTAGTATATATACTGTATTGTTTAAAGGCAGCCCAAGTCAAAATATTGATTAAAGCTAATTCTAGCAGAGGAACCTCCATCCCCCAGATATCACATACTGTAATCCCTGTATATCTCCTATGAAGTACTGCATTTCTTTATCAAAGTTCCCACTCTACCCATTTTCAAAGCACTGATCCCATTCCCTAGACTACATCCCTCTTATTTCTGATCAGCAGTTGCCTAGAGAAATCAACTTTTCCAAAGTTTATTCTTGACATATATTTTATTAAAAAAATATTACCTATATAAAGGTTATTTTAAAGAAGTTGATAAAAAACAACTATATCGATTGGAATTTCTAACTAATCTATAGCAACTAAGGGGGTGGCACAATGGCTCAGAGATTAAGACAAGGTTCGAATGCCGAGTGTGGTGTGACAGGGTGAGCTCCAAATTCTCTCCCTACCATGTTTCCCTGAAAATAAGATCCCCTGATAATAAGCCCAATAAGGCTTTTGAGCGCATGTGCTACATTAAGCCTCCCCTAAAAATAAGCCCTTCCCAAAAATATTTAAACGCAGAACTGGAAATCAGGTAAGGCGGCAAGAGGAGCCCCATCTTGCTCCATGTGCCCCAAAATAATAAGACCTCCCTGAAAATAAGGCCAAGCGCTCATTTCAGGGTTCAAAAAAATATAAGACAGGAACTTATTTTTGGGGAAACACAGTAGCTCCTGCCAATCTAGCAGTTCAAAAGCATACAAATACGAGTAGATAAACAGGGACTGCTTCGGTAGGGTAACAATCCTCCATGATATCATGCTAGCCACTTGACTGCAGAAACATCTTCAGACAGTACTGTCTCAATGGTCCTTGAAAAAGTGATGATCACCTCCACCCACATAGTGGGCAATGATTAGCAGAATAAAATCTGCAGGGACTCCTTTACCTCCTATACCATACTTAACTTTATGGCCAACAATCAAAATCAGGCATTTTAAAGTTACATAGCAGAAGGGTATGTGAAGAAATATAGTTTATAAATTGTTTCTAAATGGAGATAAAGCTAGTACCAGACTTAGTATTTAAAGTGGTTTTTGGCATTGATGTGTACGCTCAAAGCTGAATCCTCTAATGAAGAATTAAACATAATGTTCAGTGAGAAACAATATCTTACCAGTGGTTCTCATATACAAAGCCAGTTCAGTATATTTCATGGGAATAGATGCCTTGATAAAACTTAACAGAAAAATGGCTGACAAAAAATTGAAGTCAATATTTAAAGTTTGTTTCATCCTCAAAAATTGATACTTGGAGAGCAATTGCACACAATTTCATTTCTTTTTAAAAGGAAGTAGCTTAATGATCCATTCTGGATGCCAAGACGGTTTTGACTGATCCAAGAATTTAAAGAACCATACATCATCTTTGTTGCTCTTCTCTGAGATTCTGGAAAGAGTGCAGAGAAGGGCAACAAAGATTAGGGTGCTGGAGATTAAAACATATGAATAACAGTTGCAGGAATTGGGTTTGTCTAGTATAGTGAAAAGAAGAACTAGGGGGTGACATGAAAATAGTATTCCAATATTTGAAAGGCTGGCCACAAAGAGGCTCCCACAAAGAGGGAGTCAACTTTTCTCCAAAGCACCTGAAGACAGGACAAGAAGCAATAGACGAAAACTAATCAAGGAGAGAAGCAACTTTGAACTAAGGAGAAATTTCCTGACAGTGAAAACAATTAACCAGTGGAACAACTTGCCTCCAGAATTTGTGGGTGCTCCAACATTGGAAGTTTTTAAAAAGAGATGTGCCTGGAATGGTATAGGATATTCTGCTTGAACAGAGGGTAGGTCTCTTTCAACTCTGTTATTCTGCATACAAAATGGGAGATGGATGTAACAGCCAAGTAGTTAATATCTGCAGGGAAAAAAGTAGGCTAAAGCACAAAAGGAATTTAAACTATCCAAAGAAGTTATAATAAAAGAAGAAAATTGTCACAAAAGGGGTTTGGACTTTACCCTGTAGTAAAAGAGGGAAAAGGGTGAGGGATGGGTCTGCTTCTAAGAGAAAATATTGAAATGAGGGCAGAACTGTTTGCTTCAGTTTTCTTCTCTGCAGAATCTATTATAATAAGCTTAAAAAAGTAACGTAACTAAGCAGAACAATTTAAAAACAAAGGGAGTGGCAATCCAGTGTAAGTAAATGCCAACTTAACACAGCCAACTCATCACAGTCAACTAGTCATAGCCAACTTGCCATGGCCAACTCATCACAGCCAACTCACCACAGCCAACTCACCATGGCCAATTCACCATTGGACAACTCAAGACAGCCAACTCACCATAGGACAAGACTGACATAATATTGAAGAAATGGTGGAATAGAATCATTAAAGAACAGATGCATATCTTTTGATTATTTCTGCATATGAGAAATAATGTAGGGGAAGAAATAGATTAATGGAATTTGAACCTAAGAAATATGTAAACATACATAGAAAGGCAAAAAGGAAATAACCTGATCAGGTTTGGATATCAGTTACCAGAGATAAAAATTACACATAGCAGGTCACAGGGAACAATCCATCAAGTTCAGACAAATACTGATTAAGAACATTAGAATTAACAGCCATGCAGCAGGTCACATAATGGTCAATGTGTAAAGGAATGTTGACAGATGCTGCTGGCAAAGAATAAAAAGACAAGCTATATAAATTCTGTTAGAAAACCAGGAATTCATGCAATCAACTATAAAATCCAAGAGTCTAGAAGGAGCTTGCAGCTATCGTATCATAGACTTTTGTACGATCATTCAGAAATCATGGAGGATGAGCATTTTTCAGAAGACAATGGGTATAGTGCCAGAGGACTAGAGAAGGGCAAATGTTGTTCCTCTTTGCAAAAGGGGGTGTGGGGAGGACCCAGTTTGATGTAAATTGCAAACAAAATCCTGGAATACATTATTAAGCAATGAGCTTGTGAACATTTAGAATAGAATACAATTGGCTGCATGAGTTTATGAAAAATGATGCCAATCAACTCACTTTTTTGATAGAGTGATGAGGAAGAAGACCAGCAGAGCACATCTATTAACAAAAACTAGCAGTCAAAAGACAGGATGAAAAATATTTAATCTCACAATCCTGGACAGATTCAACCATAGTTTCAATGGGGAGCCTGCAACCATCCTAGACGAAGCTAAACTAAAAACACAGGGAATTCCTGGAAGCTTGGCATTCAGACAAATCGGCTATCAGTGGACACATAAAAATAAATCATATTTACATAGTATTTAAAAGAGATAATGAAAAAGTTAAGAAGGAAACAAACTAGAACACATCTTCTCCAGCAGTCAATATTCAGGGATTAATACCAGGCAAACAATCCAGCAGAAAACAATACCCTAACCAAAGAAGAAAAGTACACCCACCCCATCAAAACTGGCAGGGCATAAACATGAAACAAACTTCACACTCACATTGATGTTACATAATTGGGTAATGAAAAATCTGCAAGCAAACAACCAAGCTCAGAGATCAATAAGGTCTCCAGAGTCATAAGTATAATTGTCCATTGGAATGAAGTGGGCATGGAGCTTCAGCAAAATATTTGACATGTTTTCAATGAGATTCTAGTAGAGAAAATACGATATGAGGCTAGCTTATGAGAGTTAGTCAGACATACAACAGAACGAGTTGAACTACTATACACAATGATTAAACATAAATGATTCTGCACTGAATTGGAAGGAAATGTTGACTGGCCATTTTGCAGGCCTCCATTTTAGGCCCTGTGTTGTTCAACCCAATTATAAATAACTTGAACAAAAAGTTAAAAATATGATCATCAGTTTACAGATATTTATTTATTTATTTATTACATTTATTACATTTATATGCCATCCATCTGTCTATCTAGAGAGCCTCTGGATGGCTTACAATGAAATAAAAGCATAATATAAAAGCATTAGAATTGACAACAACTATTGTCAATTTTACGTACAGTGCGTTAAGGCTATTGCTTAATGCACTGTAAGCCGCCCTGAGTCTCCGGAGAAGGGTGGCATATAAATCAAATTAAAAAACAACAACAACTAAATAAAGGTTAAAAATCATGATAATGGATGGTATAGGGGTAGGCTTTTGTCTCTCACTCAACCAAGCAGCAGAGTGCACCCCCACCAGGGCACCAAGCCAACCATCAGAGCTAGATTTTAAGACCCTTTTGGAAAGCCAGAAGGGTAGAGGGAAATCACACTTCTGGTGGCAAGATGTTTAGAGGGCAGGGGCCACAGCAAAGAAGGCTCTTTTCCTAGACCCCACTAAGAATTCCTTGGCTGATGAGGTCTATAGAAAGCCTCTTCTCCTAGTGGGGAGGTTAATCCAATTGGAATGACATGGTTCCTCAGATAATCTGTTCCCATGCTATAAAGGGCTTTAAAGGTGATAACCAACAACTTGAATTGAAACCAGAAGCAAACTGTATTACAAAAATAATGGGATAGCAAGTATCAGAAGATAGTATCAAGATTCAGGAGTACGTTGAGAAACTGTAATAATGGACGGAGCTAGTAAGATGAATTTCAATGTAAATCCACATTTGGATAGAAAAAAAATTAAAGGATGACTAAAGGATGAAGTTATACTGGGCAGTAATACACACAAAAAGTATTTGAGTGACTCACAAGCTGACTATGATCCATGAGCGCGACAAAGCTGCAAAAAGAGCACATGCAATCCTAGCCTTCATCAACAGTGTCAAGTACAGTGTCAAGAAATCACTATTCCTCTCTATTCCTCATAAACCAAGCCACACCTAGAATACTGCATTCTGTTCTGGGCACTACATTTTTAGAAGGACACTGACAAACTGAAATATGTCCAGACAACAGCAATCAGGAAATAGCCAGTTAGGACAAACTTAGAAGAAATACCTGTAATCATTGTGTGTATTTAGCCTGGAGAAAAGAAGATTGCAAAGAGACATGATGCTGCTATCAAATATTTGAAGAGGTGTCATACAGAAGACAGAGCAGAATTGTTCAGAGTAGTTTCAGAAGGCAGAGCAAAAAAGAATGAGTTTAAATTACACACACACAAAAAAAGATTTTGAATGCACTTCAGCTAAAATTTTCTAATGGTAAAAGCTATTCAACAGTGGAACAATGTCTCCCTGGGAGCCTATGTTTCCTTTGCTCACGATATAAACAGAGGATAGATTGACATTTGTTGAATATGTTATAGAACTACTTTCTTGTACTGACCAGTGAGTTTAGACTACATAATGCCCAAGATCACTTACAATCTTGCATTCCATAATTCTTTGAATAAAAGCAGAAGTCATGGAAAGGAGCTAAATATGTCCTTAAATACTAGCGACATAATTTTCTGAAAAAAGACATGAGAATGATACTAGTTTTGATGTATCAAATTTATCCAAAGATCATATTGTGCAGAGGTTGATCAGATGAAGAGATTGGAGAAGGGTTATTCTGTTTATTCCTGTGTTATTCTGGAAGAGCAGCGTTCTTTATTGTTGCTAGTGGACTAAACAATTTTTTAAAATTTTAATCACAGTAGAAGTGATTTACAGGCACTGTTTCAACTTGTGGATGCCCTGACATTTCTTTGTTCGTAACTTCTCAACTTTATTTCAAAATGCTAACATTTTTTTGTTGTAAAAGAGGTTTATTTTATCATGCTACAAATACAGGTAAAAATATAATTAAAAAGTGCAATATCATGTAAGACTTTAATCTTAGATTTATAAACACAGGAGAAGGGACAGGGAGTTCCGATGACTCTGTAAAAGTTTTAAAACAACTCGTTATTGTTCTACATACCATGAGCACATAAATAGTTGCCTAAACAGCTATTTTGGGAATTCTGTGATGTTCATGACTGATGCCAAAACGTTGGCTTAACAGATGGCCTTCTCTCTGTCTTTCCTCTTTCCCATTTATTTTTTAAAACTAAAGCTGTCTATCAATATCTCTAAATTATATCATGATAGATTTGAATGGGGTCAGTTTGATTACCACCCTGCTTAGCTCACTAATTTAATTTAAAGCATGCTGAACAAGTATTTTTTTCCCACTGCAAAAAAGTTATGGGTTTTTTTTTCATGTTACAGGTATTTTCAGAATGCACAAATCTTTCTTCAGAATGCTTTTTGGGGATTTTTTTCAGCTTGCCTCAGTGCTGCATCTGAACAATGTTGCAACATGGCAAGAAGCAGCTGGTGTTTTTGTATTCTGTTATATATGGGAGCTTCCCTGACTGCTCATGCTTCCTGTTTTGAAAGACAGCCATGGAAAAATTCCCTTAAGATGTCTTCTTCTCTCATGCTTTAACACAGGAAGACAAATAATTTGAAAACACACTTCGGGGAAGATTAAATAATGAAAAACAAAACGTTCACATGCAAGTTTCTCAGCTTCCTTGAAAATTCCTGATTTTCCCCTCTTCAATCAAAAGGAAGATGCATAATTGCATAAAAAAAACTGCAGAAGAAATTTGCCATGGCACTGATTTTTTATTAATAACTAGTTAATTGCCCAAAGACTGCTTGACTAGTATTACAAATTACCTTATTTAAAATTACTTGGATGAACTCAGGAAGCTACTAATGTGCAGTCAATCTAACTGTGGACAATATTTTTTTTCAAAACAAGGTCAACAAACAAAAACACATTACCTCTAATGCTAGAGGTTCTCCATTTCTCAGCCATCTGTAGGAAGGCTTAGGTTTGCCACTTGCTCTGCACTCCCAGTATATGTTGTCCTCCACTGCAGCTTCAAAATCTTTTATCAATTGAACCCAGTGAGGCTTGGCTTTAAATAATAAAAGGGGAAATTAAGACAATTAATAAAGACAAACTATGTTTGGGAACGGGAAAAAGCAAAAACAAGTGAACACAAGAAATTCAACTCAAAAATGTTCTCTAAATGTTCATCTCATAACATCGTTTGCACCATCCTGTAAACATTTTTAACATGCTGGTAAGTAAGGTAGTAATTTCACTGTCTTGCTTAACTAATATGCAAACATCCAGGAGGAGAAGGTATGGATACAGATGTACTATAGATATAAATATAGACACATGATTGAACCAAAGTTCAACATAATTTACTGCCTTTGAAATTACTATCTACTAAACTTAGTTAACCTTTAAATCACTTTGGCAGGGAATGGAACAAACATTTCATTTATAGCATGTTTTTATGTCTAATTGCTAATGCTATGGATCTTGCCACAATGAATGGAAAGTTTATAACCACAGACCTCTGCCTACATAAGGTAGTCACATACAATATTAGCAGAAATAAAAGCAAAGAAAAAACATTATGACCGGCACTGAAATAATAGAAAGATGGTGTCAAAGAGACTTTGGAGGTCATCCACACAGCTCCCTGGCTCTGATATGGCTCACTTATCAGTCATTGAGAACATCATTTCACCCTGGAGCCTCCATTTCAGATCTGACCTGTCATTAATGTTCCTGGTTATATGCTATCTGGCTATAGAATTTTGTTCCTCTGTATCCAATTTTGTTCCTCTGTATCGAAAGAGGGATTGGCCTAAAGTCCATGTGAGGGTACTTTGCTTCCCAAGGACTGGACACACCACAGCATAGCACTTACTGTATGTACACAACACTTCATTACCCTCCCCAATCACAGATTATTGTTCTGGGTTAACTCTATCCTCCTAGACCTTACAAGTCAATGTAGCCACATAAATACATCTTCAATACTCAGTCCTTCAAGCAAACAAAATGGCAGTCTGTTAAATGGCATACAACCTTTGCCTCCCTCTAAAAGTTCTAGCACTAGTTGTGATGAGATGCTGTCTCAGTGTGAATGCTCCTTTGCTGGTTGCTGTGGAGCTCCAGGCCAGGTTTCAGGCAGGACTCCCACCAGGATAGGTTGCTTAGCCTAGTGTCAGGTTCCAAACAGAAGGAAATAAAAGGAGACAAACCTGGATGGCTACTACCTTAGTTTAATCACTTCTTGGCACTCACTGACAATCACAGATGAAAATCTTGTTAGGGCTACTGCCCTGTGCTTCCCACCACCATTTATCCATTAGTTATCACCATCCACCCAATCACGTGCGCTACTCCCTCCCATGTGACCCGGAAGTTGACTTATGTTTATGTTATGTTTAATTCTTGAGTATTTACAACCAGCATCTAAACAGTTAATCCACCTGTTATTTCTGGCTGGCCATGATGATGTCATTCCCCAGCTATTCCTTCCTGTCAATCCTATCAGTTCCTGGGAGGCTTGATGAAGCAGATGCTGGGCTGAAACGAGGTTTGTGAGTTTCTCCCCCCAAGAATGGCAGCTCCATGCCGACAGCGCGCTGGAGCTGACACCTAGGTTTTAGTCTTGGCAGTTGCTTCTGATAGTCAAGAGTCAGACAGATTCTGACTGATAGTCCCCTGTCTGTCATTCTCTATAATTACTATTCTCCAGTTTCCTCCCACTTCCCCACCTGTTTGCTTTTTTCCTATCTCCTCTTTTCCTACAACCCTCCCTCCCCCCCTCTTATCTTAGTATTCACTTCTGTAAGCTTGTGAGTAAACTGCAAGTGGGTGGAATTAATAAATGAACAAGGCCACCTCCTCTCAATTTTCTGGGGCTGTAAACTTTGGGGAAAAAGCATTAGCAACCCTGGCCTTGGGGGGAAAGGGAATAATTTCTGCCTGGCTGCCACTGCTTTTCCCAAGTGCAGACAACAATCCCAGTTTCACTTCTTCAGAGTCCCCCAGCGGGTTTTGTGCCTAAGGCAGGATAAAAGTCAGGGTCTCCAGGTTTCTAGCCTGGGGGCTTAACCACTAGAACAACCTGATTCTCTTTTCCTATTATATGGGGCATGAAAAACTCTAACAAGATGTAAATTATTTTGGCCAGGATGGACCAAAGGGAAACAGGTTCCATTCCTTTCCAAAGTTACTAAAGTCATTCATGGACCAAACATAAAGGAAAGAAGGCAAAGGAAAGTGTTGTGAAATCTTTTTGGGTGATATTCTTATTTATAATATTTTCTGTGAAGAATAACTTGCATTAGCTAAAAGATGTTATTTCTAAAGTTCAAGAAACACGTTTAACTATTATCCCAGCCAGATGTCCTCTGGGGTTTTCTGAATTGTGTAAATTTAGGTACATATTACAGGTCAGCAAAATCTCAGACTAGAAAACAAGAAATGTAAGCTCTTCAACAGATACAGCCTCTCTCCTGGGAATTATGGGATACTAAAGATGATTTAAACTTCATTTTTTTTCCAAGGCAAAAATCCTCATTATTATAACTAAGAAGAGAGAATCGAATAAAGTTCACTGAACTTCTGAGTGTGAAAGAATTAAATACTGCTTTGTATTGTTACCTTGTGTTAAGAGGGCCATGTTTTAATTTTCCATTTGTTTTGTACATTGCTGCTTCTGATCTGGGCCTAGAAGATGGATCAGTACAAAAGTACTAATTCTTTAACTTTTTTGGGGGGGGGATCTTTCCAAGTGAAAAGTGCATAGCATTACAGAGTAAGATAATTATGATTTAAAGTAAGTAGTAAAAAGTCTTGTGGGGTTGTGGATTCTCATTAATCACAGACCTTCAGAAAAAAAATGAAGGCTAACAGAAGAGTATATACTGGTATATTACCTTGCAACCACACAAAATTGTGGTTCAACATCAGATAGGCAAACAGCACTGACCTGCTGATTTTGTGTATAGACATGGAAGTGACCCAGAAATTACAGAATACAGAATAGAATCGAAAGGGATGTTGGAGGTCTTCTAGTCCAACCCCTGCTCAAACAGAGGAGACCCTATACCATTTCAAACAAGCAGATGTCCAGTCTCTTCTTAAAAGTCTCCAGTGATGGAGCACCCACAACTTCTGAAGGCAAGCTATTCCACTGGTTGACTGTTCTCACTGTTAGAAAATTTCTCCTTATTTCTAGGTTGCTTCTCTCCTGGATTAGTTTCCATCCATTGTTTCTTGTCTTTCTTCTTTGTGGCAGCTCCTCCAATATTGGAATGCTGCTATTATGTCACCCCAGTTCTTCTTTTCTCTGGACTAGCCATACCCAATTCATGCAACTGTTCTTCATATTTTAGTCCCCAAGCCTGTAACACAGGTAATTGCTCTGTAACAGAGGTAACTATGACACCAGTAAAAGATTCTTCCCCAGCCTTTTCTTTTTTAAAATATGTGTGTAAGCTACATGATATTTCCATTTCACTATGGATTCTTCCAGGCTGTTAGACATCCACAAAGAAATCCCAAAGTTTTGTGCTACTTAAGTGAGAGGAAAAATTGAGATTAGCTTAGTCTACTTTCACATTGGAAAATGTATGCAAGAGACGGGGAAAAAAGGCTGTTGTACTGTCCTAAGAGGCAGAATCCTTTCTCAGACAAACTCTGGGAATAAGAATTGGGAGGCATATTGGCTTGCACAGTCTCAGATAAACTCTAGACAAGAAGGCTGTTGAAGATTTATGAATTAAGAAAGGAAAAAAATGCCTGGTGATCCCGAGACACACTTAGCAATTTTGATTCCTTAGAGGTTTTGAAGTTGACAAGAGATCAAAAGTTTTACCAAGCAGAGAAAAGCCAGCTGCCAGACCAAGTGACAGAGGGAATTGCTGGGCCAATATCTCCAAGCCTTCCTGTGATTTTAGATAGTGATGGGTAAGAATATTTAGAAACATGAATATAGGCTATTAAAATTTTGGAATAGAGAAAAATAATGTAGTGTGAAAGATTGCTTAACAAAGGGAAGTGGTACGTTTAAATTTTCTAAAATGTGGGTGGAGAAGCAATGGAACACAGACTTTTAAATTAAATTGCAAAGTTTAGTTGGGAAATCAAAATCCAAATAAGATGCTGTTTGTTCATTTAATAAAGAAAACATCATCTAAAGTGGCAGTTTTCTACAGAATCCTGTAGAATTTCTACACAAAAATAGGTTTTTATTATGAATCTGTATGATTTTAATAAAAAGGATATGTATTGCTTTTGTGTTTTGTTGAATAGGTCAATATTCAACAAATTCATAATACATCAATTTTTTTGGCCAAGTTTCCAGCTGATGGGTAGAATCAGTCCTTAAATTATTTCCTATATCCTTTGTATTGTCAATTGAACTAATACATCTTGTATAATAAAAGGGAGAGTCAGAGATTTAGGCCTTTATTACATTGTGCATATCAATGTTGACCTACCATCTGATAAGATGGGTGGCTGAATGAAAGGAAGGAAGGAAGGAAGGAAGGAAGGAAGGAAGGAAGGAAGAAAGAAAGAAAGAAAGAAAGAAAGAAAGAAAGAAAGAAAGAAAGAAAGAAAGAAAGAAAGAAAGAAAGAAAGCTTTCCAACTTTAGATTTAACAATTTGGGTTACATTAAGGTGGGTTGATTCCCAGGAAAATATTTGCACTGAATTGGAGAAGGGGGCAACATCAATATTTGATATTTGCAATCAAAACAAGAAAATAATTGAAATGCATTGGTCCTATGACATGAACCATAGTTCAGGGCCAATAAAATAAATAATCACCTTAAGAAATTAGAAAATACTATATGACTGACATACAATGATGCACCTGAATCCCCAGTTAAAATTGTTAATAAATTTGCTGGTAATTAATCTTGGTTGTTTTGTGTATTATTATTTCAAGCAGCAGATGAACAGTTTTATGCTATTTACTTAAATAACAGCTGTGATTGGCAATGCTTTTCTGTTTTAATGCTAAATTTATTTATATTAATTATTTTTTAATTTACAGAATACAAGATATATTGCATTGCTATACTGCTTTGTAGAATAAAAATATTAAAATATTCCTATATGCCTTCCTTGCATTATGCATTTTCTTTTCAACTGGAAGTGAAATAACTTAACTTGCAGTTTTCACAAGGAAAATTACATTTTGGGGGAGTAATGTTTTATAAAAATTGCTAATTAACACTTAGCTAGTACTTCAGCTTTTCCGCCCCAACAAAATAACAATATACTTTGTTAGCATCCAGTGGGTGCATATTTTAAAATGTGCAGGAGGATTTTTGTAGAGTACCTATTTCATATTTTATTAAGCAAAAATGAATTGAAGAAAATAGGAAGAAGAATGGCATTATGCCCATATAATTTGCAAAAAAAATGTTTTATAAAAAGCAGATCATGTGCAATAGTCTTGTAGCGGAATTGTGAAAGTATGATTTTTGCATTAAAATAAGCAAATAAAATTAAAGTTTCAGATAATTAATTATTCTGTTGCAGCATAATAATATAGGTCTTTTAAATTCTGTTTTTATCAATAGATATTAAATCTAGCAGCTGCCTATTAAAAGAAGTTAAGTTATAGAAGGCTGGAGGAACTTTGTAGCACTATACTCTGAACCTATTGAACAACTACAGGTAATCCTCTACTTACAACTATTCGTTTAGTGGAAGTTACAACGGCATTGAAAAAAAGTGTCTTCTGACCATTTTTCAAACTTACAACTGCTGCAGCATCATTGTGATCACATGATCAAAATTCGGACGCTTGGCAACTGATACGTACTTATGACGATTACAGTGTCCCTGGGGTCATGTGATCTCCTTTTGCAACCTTCTCACAAGCCAAGTCAACGGGGAAGCCAGATTCACTTAACAACCATGTTACTACCTTAACAACTGCAGTGAATCACTTAACAATTGTGGCAAGAAAGGCCACATAATGGGCAAAAGTCACTTAAAAACTGTTTTCCTTAGGAACAGAAATTTTGCACACAATTTTGGTCATAAGCTGAGAACTACCTACAGATGTGGGTTGAAGCCCTTGCTGGGAGAAGCAATAGCAAGCAAGACACCAAACATGTAGACAACTGAAGTAACAAATAATTTTAATCTGTTCTGTCTTTTATTTCATTTTTTTTCTTATTCTTATATGGGCTGACACAGATCTTAGATCCAGAACCTTTAGTCAGAAAGTTAGTAGTGTATAAGCAATTTTTTTCTGTCATTTTTCAGTAATAGAAAGAAAAAGCAAAGAAATACCAACTGAAAATATTAGTAATTTCATACCAATCAAAACTTCTGCCCCTGTTAAGGCAAATTCAATTTTTAAAACAGCTTTATTAAGTTTTTCAAAATTATTTTTTAAAAAATTAAATAGAACCACACTTTGGGAGTATTCTAGCAATTCACTATACTTAAACACTTCTGTCTAGTTGCCATTTCTTTTTTATAATGTGCTTCTTGTTTGGAAATCCAGCAAGGTATTTTTAGATATAAACTAGGCTTATATTTATTCCAAATTCTCAGGATGGCACATCTAATGAAATGATTTTTGAAATCTTGTAATACCATAAATAGGCATGCCACCGAAATCTCAAATTGTGCCCTTCTAAGTCCAATAACGTTTTATCCGTCAGCATCACCCGTTCCTTCAACCAAATTAAGCAACAAGCTGCAAAGTACATTTTCAAATCTGGTAAGACTAGTTTATATACCGTATTTTTCGGACTCTAAGACGCACCTACCTTTTTTGGTGAGGAAAACAAGAAAAAGAAATCTGCCTCTGCTTCCCAGCAATTTTGCCTCGTTGCAGCAAACAGCAAACAAGCAAGCTTTACTTTCATTTTCATTTTCAGCATAGCTTGATTAGCACAAAAAAAAAAAAAAAATCTGCTCCAGCAATTTACCTCTTTGCAGCAAGCAGCAGAGGCCCGCACAGCAATAGGCAATGGAAGCCTGAAACAGCTGAGTCGGGAGACCGACCCAAGGGACAATCAACTTGTGCTAATTAGGCTGTGCTGAAGCTGAAATGGGCTGTTTCTTCTTGCTGCTTGCTGCAAGGGGGTAAAGTGCTGGGAGGCAGAAGCCAAACGGTGGAGGCCAGTGGGTGGGCGGGGCTACATTCGATATATAAGACGCACCCAAATTTTTACCCCCTACAGTATATATAATATGTTTGGCAAAAAATAATTACATATATACATATACATATATATATATGTATGTATGTATGTATATGTATATATATACATGTATGTATATGTGTATATGTATGTATGTATGTATGTATGTATGTATGTATGTATATATATATAGTTAACAAGCAAATATTTTACTTTTTCCTCTATGTTAAACCCTATCCTATTCAATTCCGCTTGCTCCTATGTCCATATATTTGTCTTTTATTTATTAATCTTAACTTCAGCTAGCATACCAACTTCATTTCCCATTAACTCTATCCCTTTCAATGGATCTTCCAACACCACAACATCATCATCTGCAAATGCTTGCAGTGTGTGTGTGTGTGTGTGTGTGTGTGTGTGTGTGTGTGTAGAAGTTCTCACCAAGTCTCTAACTTCTAAACGTTTGAACAAAAAGGATAAATTAAGAGGATCAAAAGCGAATAGTGAATTAGTATTCAAAGTGAATCCACACTTATATCACTGATATAACACATTTATTTTTATATGTCATTGCAGAGTTAAGAGTTTTGGGCAGGTTCTAGAGAGATCAGGTTCAAGCCCAACTTTAATCACAAAGCCTCACAGGATAACATTGGGCTGCACACTCTTTTAGCTGAAATTCCTTCTAAGGGTTTTTTTGCAGTTGGAAAAAAATGAAAAATAGTAGCACTTCTCAAATGAATATTCCTTAAATACTTTTAGAACTCTGTTTTTTTTTTAATGCTTACCATAATATGTGAGACGTCCCTTTGCAACGTTCTTCCCTCTAGTATTTTCAGTGATACACTCATAGAGACCAGCATCTTCTTGCTGGAAATTGGGAATTTCTATCATGCCATTGGATTTTCTCAACATTACTTTGCTTGGAAATGGTGTCCCATCAGTTCTTCTCCAGTTAATTCGAGGAATTGGACTACAGCAATGAAATTTAAAGATTATGTTGTACATTATTATTATTATCTGATATTTTTTTAGAAAAAAGCAAAATATCACAATTTACATATTAGAAAGGAATTTACAGTGTTTGGTATGCTTTTGGAAGAAAGTTGTCAGTTAATTGTTTAAATTTGCCGAAGGGTGATTTTTATTTTTTTAGACAAACTTCTTCAAGCCTTCAAAAAGATGGAATGAAAGTATAATTGAAATCACTCTTTCCATCTACTACATTATGGATGGAAGGAAAGGAGGAAGAGAAAACAAGACAAGACAACAGGGGTGTCAAACTCAAGGGCTGGGGGCCAGATTCGGCCCATGAGGTGCTTAGATCTGGCCTGCAGGGCCGCCCTGGCAGAAGGACCCTGGCTCATGGTGCTTCTGCCAGAGAAAACGATGCTCAAGAGGACAGCATGTGACCTCCTGAGCTCTGTTTTCGCTGGCAGAGGGTTGCAGGAGGCCATCACAGCTAGAAACAGAGCTTGGGTGGCCTGTGCGTTGCCCCCCGAATTCCATTTTCACTGGCAGAGGGTTGCAGGAGGCCATCACAGCCAGAAACAGAGCTCACCGGGCTGCGTGCAGCCCCCCACCCCCACCCCAAGCTCCGTTTTCACTGGCAGAGGGTTTCAGGAGGCTGTCGTAGCTGAAAATGGAACTCAGGTGTTCATTTTTGCTGGCAGAGTGCACAGATCACCACAGGCACCTGTAATACGTCGAGCTGGCCATGCCCATCCTGGCCACACCCACTTTGGCTCCCTGAGATCAAACACAACCGGATGCGGCCCTCAATGAAATTGAATTTGACACTCCTGGTTTACAAGATGTTTTTTATCAGCATCAATAGCCCTATGAAGCCCATTGCTGAGCACGTTGTAAGCCGCCCTGAGTCTTCGGAGAAGGGCGGCATATAAATCAAATTAAAAAAAAAAAAATGTCCCCAGCAGTATGCCGTTTTCTGAATCACCTGTTGCTCCTTGAGAAGCCATGTTATGCTTAAACAGAGATGTCACTGAACAATTGATCTCCTTCTCATCCTTCTATTGATCTGGTCCCAGGAATAAACTTTGCTAATAATAAATTGAGAACTTTTCAATTTTTCATTTATCAAATCTTCTAATATGCACCGTTTCATTTTAATTTTACTGCCAATTTCTCTGAATTTATATAGATCAAACATAAATTTGGCCAATAGTATCAATTATTGCAGCTTTTTGGTATCTCAGTTAATCCATTTAAACCAGCTTCAAGATTCTGTTATATAAAGTTAATATTGAATGCACAGTATAAAATCTATGTTCATTTCTTACTACACATAATTATATAATAAATAGTCCATTCATAAAAAGTTCCTCAGTTTGTAATCCGGTATTACAGTATTTCATTTAAAATTAGTTCAAATAAGTACAACATATGCAAAAGCACATTCTATGTCCAATTCTTTCTATACAAATAAAATAGATATGCTTACTTTCCAAGAGCAAAGCATTCTAGTTTCACAGTTGATCCTTTAGCAGCAGGAACTGTTTCAGGGAACTGAACTTCTATTTTGGGTTCATATTCCCCCATCACACCTTTTATACCAGAAAAGGGAAAGATAGATAGAAACTTAACATCTTGATCAGCAACTATACAAGAGTTCTACTGAAGTAGAGATAGATTACAGCTTCTATAATCATTGCTTTATCCCTAGATTGACAGCTGACATGACGCAATTTACCTCCTATTAACTTTAGAAAATGTAGTATAAGAAAATAGAGAATGCAGTAAAATTTAACAATTAACTAGGTAACTTTGAAGGTTCTCTGTTGCATCACAATTGCTTCTTGATATTTCATGCATGTATAAACACATCTGCCTGTAAAAATGAAATAGCAGCAAAACTCTGATGAACTGTTACAGATCTTGATTGCAATTTTGAGTAAGTGGAAAAAGTAATTTATTATACACATAGAAATAACAGCTAGTATAAATGACAAGCCGTAACGGTATACAATTCTTTGGTGTATGGAAATGCACATCTCTGAATTCCCATCATCAAGGATTTGTGTGGTTGTCGTGAAGGGAGAAAGATGTATTGAAGGTGGAGTAAGGGAGGCCCTCCCTTTGCATGAACAAGAAAAGTAAGTAAAAATCAACCATAGAATTGGCATACTTAGTTTTTTTCCATATGATCCCATTCCTGCTCTATACCTTCGCACTGGTAGTAAAATTTGCAGGTGATGTTTCATCTGCTGCACTCTATCATTCCTTGACATTAATTGGTTATAGTAAAGTGTCTATGAGTGTTATGCACAGTGAAAAATTCCACACTTAATTATACATGCTACAATTGAAGTTATTTATAAATAGGAATAAGGAGGTACAATAACATTCGCTAGAAAAAAACACGACAGTAAATATTATGGAAATTTACAGAGTGTGTTTCAGAATTATACATATCCACACAATTGTGGTTTCCAAAAATTTATGTAGGCAATAAAATCATATACACTTGATTACACCACATTTGTATAAATGCATACCATCAGTCCGTAGCACCAAAGGTGTTGGTGATCCAAGAGTGTTGGTGTTAGCTACAGCACTAGTCACGACACAGGTATAATTTCCTACATCAGATGGCTCTACTTTAGCTATGTAGAGATGTCCAGTTTCCTGAGAAACAAATCTCCGACTATCTTCTTGCACAAACGTTGGGTATTCATTAAAAATCCAAGCATAGGAAAGTTCTGAAAATAAGTAAATATATATATATGCATAATTCCACCACAAAATAATATTTTCTTTTAAGATGTTAAATCTGAATATTACCTACTTGCAAATAAAATGTGTTATAAAATGTACATTTTACAATGTACAATTCTCCACATTAAGTGAAGAATTTCACACAACTTTTCTCAATTTTTATAAATAAGGATTGTTTCCTAACGTTCTTTTAGAACACTTTTTAAAATTTTATTGATAAGGCCACACAACCATATTTATCTCAATATTTGTTCATTCAATACGTATCACAAGAAGATGGCAATGAGCAGAAGGTTTCCTGCTAAGCTTCATATGATTATTTGTTTTGGCAAATAACCTATCTACATATCTTAACTTTTAATCCTGTTTAATAAACACATTGTTTGAAAGAGATATTCTAAATCTAACCAAGTCCCGAAAGTCTCACTAAGCCTTTCGATATGATAGATTGACACTGAAATAATGGGAAAGAACAAGAGGACAAGTTCAGGCTCACAGATCCTATCGTGCTATGGTCCATGGGGTTGCAAAGAGTGAGACACAAGTTAAGAGACTGAACAGCAACAACCCAACAAACAAATAAAAAATTGATGACATGAGAAGAAAACTAAAAGTAAAAAATAATAGCAAAACAAACAACCCCAAATAGTTACAGTATGACATCTTTAAATGGGTTCTAAAAACAAAAGTTGAAAAACTAAAACTACTACATCTTTTCTGTGGTAGTGCAGTGGTTAGAATGCAGTATTGCAGACTGATTTTGCCCACTGCCAGACGTTCGATCCTCACTGGCTCAAGGTTGACTCAGCCTTTCATCCTTCCCAGATCAATAAAATGAGGAACCAGATTGTTGGGGCAATATGCTGACATTTGTAAACTTCTCAGAGCGGGCTACAAAGAACTATGAAGCGGAATACAAATCTAAGTGCTATTGCTATTCTCTATTATGCATAAGGAATCAAACCATCTGTCCTTTTTAGCCTCTTCCTTGTCAATACATTCTTTATGAGGAAAGAGCAAGTCAAACAATTGCCAAAGGAATTCACAACAGACTTTGCTCTAAACAATGCCCATTAGCTACACAAACTGAAATCTCAATTTTTGAATATTAACTTCTATAAAAATAAAGGTGCACTCTTTAAAAATAACCTCTGAAATGTTTATACAAAATTATGCAGATAATCTAGTAGCTTTTAGAGGAACTTAAACATTTACCACAAAATACATATTGAAACATAAGGGAGAAGGAAATGAAACCCAAGTTTCATTTTGGAAATAACTTCTAAAATACTATCACATGTATTGGAATATATGGGATATGAAATCCTAACCCTTCTCTGCCTCTGTCAGATTGAAAATAAATGTTTATTAGCTAAAAACCCTTGCAGAGTTACAATGAATATGAATCTATCCATCTCACAGTGCAAGGCAAATCTGAGTAGCTTGCAGAAAGATATAACACAAACATTTTACAATCATAACTATAAAAACAGCTTACAATTACAAAAATTAAACTAAGAACAAGAGTTTGGCGGAAAGAGATTGGGGTAACCATACATGAGGTGGTTAATGCACCAACCACCTCATGTATGTGGATTATGGTTATAATTTCCTTGCACAACATATGTTCTGAATGTTTAGGACCAAATAAAAAATACAAACTCCCAAATTCTTCACAACCAACCTCCCCACCCTAAACCCAAATACATCCTCTTATTTACTTTCTAAACATGATCTGATTGAGTTTCTAGTTCCTGAATTCCCATAGTTTTTTAATGAACTTTTACTGGGTTTGTATTAAAATTAACGTTTGGATTAATACATAAACACAGCTACCTGTATATTTTGCCGTTAGAATAATAGAGTTTGTATTTTTTTGTCCAAATATAAGGTGAAAATGCACACAGCCACTATGTCTAGAAAATTATTTGCAGTTACAGAAAAAGAAATAATTTGTTAAATTTGTATTCAGTACATTATCACTATCATCAAATAAAACTGTTTGGTGTATATTTATGATGTTAATGTTCTTTTACTGTTATTTATTACAAGCTATGGTAATAATTACATTTCCTTTGTTGATATGATGGAGGAGAAATTATTATGCAAGTTATATTTATTTTTAGGAATATAGATCAATCATAGATCTTGTTGATCCATGTAGGTAACTTTCAAATTGCTGTATTTTCTTCCCAGTAGATCTTTCTGAAATGATAATGCTAATCTGTCTCAGAAAAAAATATTTGCAGATGTTTTTGTGTTTGAGTCTATTTTCTAAAATGACAATTATGGGCCTTTCAATTTGAAAGAATAGTTGCCTCTGTCTGCCTAATTTCAGATTGATAACTGCAGGTGTTTTTGTGCAAAAGAAATGGCCTTGATTTGTGCTCTTGTTAAACAAGTGATTTGAATAACCTATTTCTGAATCAGTGTTTTGGTGAGAAATTTTAAGTACTAGGTTAAACTGAATTTATTTTGAATATGAAATACCATATTTACAATATCAAAATCATGAAATTTATAAGATGTTAATAGCAGGAGCTGAAGAGCATTCTTTGTTTTTTTTTCTAAAAACATATTTAAATATTTAATTTAGCATCCTTTTTAAAAAAATATGGTGTTTTATAATAATACAACTATTAAAATGGATTCACATAATATTCACTGTAAAGCATGAAGATATAAGTGCAAGGATGATAAATATTAAGCCATTCTAATGGTACCAAGCCATTCTAATGGTACCTGCAAGAATAGAGTTTTCATAAATAAATCATTATGATGTTGGTGCCATACCATAATTAAGACTTCATCTTAGTTAAAAGCTCTTAACCTGATATCCAACACAATGTTATGCTGCAAACAGATTGGTATAAAAAATAGTTTTTCAGGTATGTGATTTTCATGTCCATTAATTAAGAGTTCTGAAAGAAGAAACCAATTCTTTATACTGAGCTCAGAACCAGAATAGGACTGGAGGTCCCTTAACCTTCAGAGGATTGAGGCATTTATGATTGGGATAGAATGATTTTGAAAAATTAGAACTAGCATTATACAGGAACATCTGTATAAGCTAAACCTTTCAAAGTCCGCATAGGAAATTGTATAAAATATAGGATAGGATCCCGTAAGACTTATAGATCTATGATGTCTAGTTGATGGGCCAGGCAGGTACTGGCTAATCATGAGACATCATAGTGGTAGTTAAGGATCAGAAGACACCAGTAGAGATAGAGGTACTAATGCCAAGTGACAGCAACATCAGGAAAAAAGAGTAGGAGAAGAGTAGGAGAAGTACCAGGACCTGAAAGAGCAACTGGGAAGAATATGGAAACTAAAAGACACTCCTAAACTGGAAAATCCAATAGATCCCTCTTTCCGTTTATGACTGTATGACCGTAACTTTGTTGCTTGTATCCTTACAATTTATATTGATATTGTTTCCTGATTGCTTATTTGTACCCTATGACTATCATTAAGCATTGTACCTTATGATTCTTGATGAACATATCTTTTCTTTTATGTACACTGAGAGCATATGCACCAAGACAAATTCCTTCTGTGTCCAATCACACTTGGCCAATAAAAAAGTTCAGTTCAGTTCAGTTCAGTTCAGTTCAGTTCAGTTCAGTTCAGTTCAATTCAATTCAATTCAATTCAATTCAATTCAATTCAATTCAATTCAATCCTATTCTATCCTATCCTATCCTATCCTATCCTATCCTATCCTATCCTATCCTATCCTATCCTATCCCAGGAATGACATCAGAGTTTTCTGTCTAGAAGGGTGAAGTGCTAGGAACAACATAGAACCCTCAAACTCCTAGGCCTTTGGTAGTTGACTTGAGATTGAAAAGACACATACTATATATATATTGTGACATTACAAGGCATATACACTGTGTGTGTGTGTGTGTGTACAGTGTTTCCCTGAAAATAGGACTGGGTCTTATATTTTTTTGCCACCAAAAAAAGGCACCAGGTCTTATTTTCGGGTGGGATGTCATCCACTGACTCATCTCACTTGCGTGCGTTGCCCCCTGCCTCCTCTTTGTTGTCAGAGGCCTTCAGGAAGTTCTGCTGCCAGTAAGGCTTGCAAGGCTTTCCTGAAGGCCTCTGTAGCCAATAACAGAGCTCTGGTTCCATCAGGAAAGCCTTGCAGGCAGAAGAAATGGTCTGGCAAGGCAAGTGTCGTGGTGTGTGAGGCCTAGCTACAACTGTCCGAAAGTAAGTAGTAGGACAGTTCCATCCCCACCCCCATCCATACCCTTGCACCCCAGAGTGGGTGGGGTCTTAATTCGGGTTTATTTTGGGGGTAGAGCTTATATTGGGCGCACATATATGCCTTGAAATATCACAAGCATAAACATTGCCCTTATGCATTGTGTCTTGACATAGGATGCAATTAAATAAGTCATGAGTTCCGCATCACGTCATGACATTTTGTGATTTCTCTTCCCTCTTGGACACCAATGCATTTAAACATTTTTTTCAGCAGAAACATTTCTTGGTCTATTTCTAGCTGGCTGTCAATAAAATGATATGTTCCCAGTTAAAATTTTAGTAGCTGTACAGTAATTTTACACAGTACCCAAAGCCAGCCTGCATGCATTGTATTGATGTACTGCAGCTGTTTCATCTACACCTCTGTTAAGTTAAACAAAATCTAAATAGAATACCTATAAAAATTGTCAGTTATTTTTTTCTAGTTTGTGCTGTGATTCAGAGACAAAGAAAAATAGTTACAAATCTATCATCAGTCATGCTTTATGATAGATGCATAACTTTTTTTACCCTCTCAATTGTTTTACAGGAAGATGCCAACAGCAGGCCCATCTGGATAGCACACATTTTTCTAGCACCTGTTAAAACTTCCTCCTCTTTTCATTCTTCTCTTTCAGTCTGTCTGTTTTTTTCAATAAATTGCTGTAAGATAGTCTCCATGAGCACTGTGATATTAACAGTGCTAAAAATTGATATTAATAAT